GTGATAGATAAATCTGACGATTAGATTAGATTCATATTGAAAGTTTTTCTTTGTCCTATCAATCGATATCGCTTTCACGCTATTTCTTTTCTGAGATCTCGAGAAGACGAAAAATATCGAAGACGAAAAATATCTTCCGATTACTTCGCCTCCAATATTTATTTCATGAAAGACATCTGCTTCGATAATCTCACACATGGAAAGGAAAAAGTTAATACACGGATTTCGCTTGTAATAAAAAATATGTTTCATAATATGTTGTTCCCATATTGGATACCTCCCTGATGATTATTCTGTCTGTACGATATTTCAAGATTGTATCTTTGGTAATAAGCGCAAGGAACAGAAACAAAATCATCCTTCCGATGTAACGAAACCAATTTCAACTAATGCGTTGTTACCATATCCAGCATTGTGCTTTCCATCATTTCACGTCTGATATTTTGAGACAGACATACATTTGCAAATGTCTGAATTGGAAAAAGAACGAAATAGAGCTCCAATTAAAACCTTCCGTTAAGCGAACTTTCATGAAATTCTTTATTGTTATTCAATGTAAAATATAAAATATATATCCTATATTTTTTTGTATCTAAATCGCGACAGATAAACATTTTTAATGATTTTGAATATAATTAAATTTTCAACTGTTTAATTAGAAGAGTCTACGATATTTAAGAATTAAAAAAAAGTTCCTTATTAATTTCATGTCGATTAATGCACACAGCATTTAATATAAAATATCTTTTGTATAACTCTCTCTCTACATCGCGACAGGAAAAAATTTTTAATGAATTTTACTCTTCGAATATAATTAAACTTTTTATTTTTCGTTAATATACTTATTATTATATTGATCTAGCGATCAAAAACACATTTCTACTAATTTCATATTGATTTATAAATGCATACAATATTAATTATATTTTAAGAAAAATTTTCACATTTCTCAAATAATATAAACAAATTTACGAAAAATTTTAAACAAAAATTATAAGTAAAACTTGTACTGAAAAGCTGTATCAAAAAGCTGTATATTGTGATAGCTTTTTGATTCTGTTTCTGAGAGAAAAATTCTGATCGATCCAGAGACGTTTTCTTTTTTTAATAAAATCATGATGAGATGAAAATTCATCTCAGTTTTGGATCCATTCAGAGCGAAAGCGGTGTACGCACCCCGGATGCATCGTCGGCTGGATGCACGGATAGCCAGGCCACGGGGAAACCGGTGTTGTGTATGTCACCGAAAGAGATGGTGGGGGTCGGCCGGCCGGTGGTTCTTGATGGTGGGGAGACCGCAGCCAGGGTTTCCGACCGCGTCGGCGGCGCTTAAGTCTCCGATGCGGGGGCATTGCCGTCGTGGCCGCGGTACGATCCGATTCGACTGCTGTCTCTCAGTGCGCGCTGCTCTTCCTTTCGCACGTGTCGACGATCTTCGTGCCGAAGGAATTTTTTTTTTTTACCTCTTTTTATCTGCCCTTTCCTGCGCGAGAGATAACCCGCGTGGCGATATCAGTCGCGCAGATTCTCGCGATTCTTCGCAATTCTTCAGTGCTACGAGGGCTACGAGTGCGATGATGGACTCATGAGAGATAGTGTGCGCGTGTGGTGATCTGAGGAAAAACGCTTCTCTCTCTCATCATTCGCGATCATCGCAATTATGCGCTGACGAATAAGGGGTGGTTCCCAAAAGGGAAAATCTTAAGGGATTACGTCGTCATGACACGCGATCGCGCGTGAGGAGTTGATGTAGCGTGCGAGAGGAACGACGTAGAACTGAACATTCCCTTTTTTTTTTTCATTCGAGTTGCACGTAAGTCGTGCAAGGCTTTTAATATGCATGTCGAGGGTACACTTAACGCGTAGTAGTAGTGCGTCGGTGTTTTCGGAGCACGGTTCATTCACAACGAATAGTGAATGAAGGACGATCGGCTTCGTGTTAGTGAAGGCAAAACAGTTTTGTCGTAGGTCAGTCCTGTAAACGAGCGCTGTCATTCCGCTTCATTGTTTGACGCACTTTCGATCGATCGGGATGCCTCATTTCTCATTTTGCGCCGAATATTGAACGAGGTTGAATCAGAAAGCGTGATAACAAAATTGCGAAAATTTGACGAGATCGTGAGCTCTTTCCGTTTTGAATGAGTTTTTCAATCGGTTTAAAAAAACGTTAGTGTTTCCTTTGATTATCTGACCGGTGTCATTTTATCACCATTCTATTCAGTGCTAATTATAAATCATCTAGCGTGTGAGACTGAATTATTTACATCTTACGTGCACAATATACACTATTTGAGATTGGACCTCGTGACTAGCATCCTCGTGACAAGTGTCAATTGTACGTTGTGAATGAGACTCAGCTTGTAGTTTATTCCTAAGTGCTACGAGCAATGCGAAGCTTATAAGTTCTGTCGCTTATAAGTGCCACGTTAAGTACGCGGAGCTATTACTGGGATTATAAAAGCGTTTCTCACGTCTGGGTAAGAATTAACGAGTGTTTAACACTTATGCATGTAATACAAATAACTAATAGCAAAAATATATGACGGTTGTATTGTACTCTTAAATAAATACGCATTAATTGATAAATATCTACATAAATGCCGTTCTTAATTATTTTATTAAAATCATATATTAAAATAAAAATAAGCTTAGAAAGACACGATTTTTATTGGATTTTTTTTGCAATATCCTCTTATTATTATTTTACATGCACAATATATTTTATAATTTAAATCATGATAATTAATCATAGTCTATATTAAAAGATGAAAATTAAATTTTAATGTTGTAAAGGATAATTTAAGAAAACGTACATTACACTATTTATTTCCAACATAAATATTCATTTATGCGCAATGTCTCATACTGTTCTGATCTAATGAGAATTGTAAAGGAATAAGATACATTATTAAACCGAACAGACAGTGTTGCTATTGAATTTTAAGACTCGATTGCACCGACAGGTTGAGAGTTAAATAAGTCCTGCTTTTCGATTTCCGTCCCTTTCATGATTAAAATATCACTGATAATATATTAGGTGTAGAAAAAGAAATCCATTATTTTTCCATTCAATTTCATGCAAAAATAATGGATTTCTTTTTACTACACCTAATATATAGAAGAGAAAATATAATTATACAAAATAGCGTGAATATTGCTGGTACAATCGTTAATTCAAATCAATTTTAATAGAATTTTCTGATGTGTACCACAAAGAGTCTTCAAATGTGTCGTGAAAATTGTAGAGAAGATAAAAACAAACGAAAAAATTTAAAAATAAGTTAAAAAGCGAATGAGACAGAAGATTGTGAAAATTATCTAAATTATGTTGTGTTTACTCTCACGTGAAGTGAACCAAAGTGATATCATCATTGCATTAGAATTATTATTAAAAGATAAAAAATAAAAATGTTAGAATTTTACTTTTTATTTCTGAATCGTCGTGTTAGCGGCGTGTACATCTATTGGTGTACTTTGAGAAATTTAACTTATTTAATGCGAAGAAGGTTAAAAAATGCTGATTTACAAATACTGTATGTAATGTATGTAGTACAATCAAGTGATAAATTTCTTTTTGTTGCACCAGTTCTATATATGTCTTCATCCAGATGAAATTATTTTATTATTGTGATAAATATGTAATGCGTTCTTTAGATCCACCCTCAATGAATATCACTCATTTCTATCGCAAAGTAGCGGTTGTGCGAGAAAGTCGATCATCGTTCTTGCAGTTTGAGCACACGCACGATCCGCGGAGAGTATATACCTCCCGCGGCATCTCGCCAACCTCTTTCAACACGGTTAAATATTAGCGGGAAAGACCGGTGCGCTACGATAAATTCTAGCCACACGACACGCCAGCGCGCGCCGGCTCGTAAATCGGCCCCGCGCGACATGTATACTTCCAGGCATCATTAATTAAAAGCCACGCTCGTTGCCTAGTATCCTCTTGTCCTTTTCTTGAAGATCGGCAGTTTCGTGACATTCTTGTGAAATATTTGAACTTAGATTTGTTGGTATTTACCCACGTAACGTAAGATTCTTGAGATTGATCACGTAATATTTTCAGAAGCGAGAGAGCTACTGGCGACTAAACAGTGACAATGTTTTTCCTTTTTACATAATGTTAATCTTTTCTAAATGTCAGTGGCGGTCTTCGAGTTTTGTTTGATACATTCGTCGAGATTAATATTAAAGTTATTATTACTAACAAGTAATTATTACTAAATTATATTACTAATTAGTTAGCGCAGTTATGGTTTTTTATTAACATATTTTACTTACCGATTAACCGTTTTTCATGATTATTTATCTTCAATGATTATCTTTATAAATCATTGCAGAATGTAATAAAAGATATGTTTTTTTATCAATATGTTAACGTATTTAATTATTTCGATAACATTAAACAAATATAAATTTTTGATGCCTGGTTATATTGATTTCAAAATCAATTAAGTTAAATTGATTAAATTTCAGTTTGATCATATTATAATTTGATCAATACTTTATAATAAATAAGAACTTAATAATATCTGCAATTTTTTTCTGAATTTTTGATGAATTATGTAAAGTGCGAATTAGTATTTAGTATGACATTTGTCGCTGCATCACGTCATACAGTTATTATTTTTGAACAATTTTCGTTTTGAAAGGGGAAAAAAGATCTTTTTTTTAATGTTATATTGGGCAAAGGCAAAAAGCGGATAATTATGCAAGAGAGGGAGAAAAGGACTCATCCCAATCTTCCATTCACGACGTTACGATCACGCGAAAACGAGTTTGGCAAGTCGGTTGCTTGAGTATAATCTTGCTTATCTTGGTTTGGCCTGATCGGGCGAGAACGATTTGGAGCAACGTGAAAAAATACGTCGCGTGATATGAATGGTCGAGTTATTTGAATAATATCCAATGTATTCTTCCATCGCACGTAAATCAAGAAAAATTATGAAATATAAGAAAGGGGGGAGCTCTCGGAGCTCCATTAAAAAAGAAAAATGTAATGTAATATGGGATTTTTATTTATTACTTTGCACAAATGAAGAATATAATATTATGTAACCGGATAGTCTTTAATATTTATGAGATAGTAATTTTGAAAATACTATTGGCATAATTGTGATAATAAAAAAAATTGTAACGTTGATGTTCGCCTGGTAATTAATAAGTGGGAATTTTAATGCCCCAGAGAGACTCCAACAAGTTCTTGATCTTTATGAGATCAATGCCTTCAGTTCTAGCGTGTGTCAAAAGCTCCTGGAATATAGGGTTATTGTAAACCTGGTTGACGAGTTGCTGGAAATTATCGGATTTCAATTGCGCGACCAAATCGGCGAATGCTGCAGAGGTCTTGAGCTTCTTCTCATACAAATCCTTAAGCTGTTGTTGAGGCAAAACGTTCAGAATGTCTTGAATATATCCATTAATTCCACCGGTAATATATGTGCCGAAGTAGGAGGGCGCGGTAAGAGGAGGGAGCTTGAGAGCAGAGTTCAAGTCGTTCACCATCTTGTAAATGTCAATACCGGCATTATGAACGTAATCCATAAAAACTTTAACTTCAGGCAGAGCTTCTACATCTTTGACTAGCTGCTTAAATCCCTCAGATCGGAAGTATTCGATCATTCTCTGGAAGTCTTTATCTTCGGTAAAGTATTGAAGAGTGATTTGGATTACTTTCTCGGCAGGTATAAGATCTATGAATTCTTGGATGTCCTTATGGAGGACATAACCTCTTCCGAAATTGGGGAGCTCATAGGCGGAGGCTGTAGCCACGAGGGCTAACAGTGCTAGTGCGAATTTCATCTGTAAAAATAAATAATTTTGTTGAGATTATTGATACACTTGAAAATTACATTATATTTACATATTATATACGCAATGTATGTATATAATATAATGTAATATTATATAATCTTATATTTATTATATTTTATACGAAATATATTACGAAATATTTTATACGATTATATATGAAATATATGTTCAAACAAAATTTATACAAAAATTATGTTACCACAAACAAACTCTTAATATGACATTTGTAGTGCATTGATAAATATTGGTTGAATCAATTATTTTGATTTTGTGAAATTTTTTATAGAAAAAGATTACAAACACTATTCAATTTTTATTATATACTATCAATCAAACTATACTATTCGAAAAAATTTCAATTAATATTAATTTATTTAAAATATATTATTAATTGATTGAATTAATAAAATAAATCTGTATTTGACGATAATTGGATGAATAAATGCGGTAATTGAAAAACGGTAAAATAAATTAAAAAATTATAATTATTCACTTAAAATTTTTTTATTTATTTCTTTTGGTTTATGTATTTGAGAACCATGTTTTTGATAACAGTTTTATTTATTTTTAAAAGAGACAGGAAGTAAATGTATTGTATGATTTATCATATTACTTAATGTTTGTATGTGCAATTTAATATTATACTTAAATACAAAATGTTTAATTTGATCTATTAATAATTATAATCTATTGATACTTACTTTTGAAATGTTACTGACAGTACTTCTACTTGTGATCTCGCAACTGATGCTTGACAATTTTCGCTGCTGTCTTTTATACACGAAATTAAATCTTATTTCTTCAATCTGTAATGATAAGATTATGCATTATCGAGTACTCGATTTGAAGACAAAACACTTTTAAGATTATTTTGAAAAATTACACAATTTTATTGTTGATTTTAGATTATGCTGTCAGCTTTATAATGGATTATTAATTTTGTAATGGTTATGCAGTTGCACGCAAAATAATAATTACTCTATAAATAATGCTAAGAACACTTGGCTAATGTTCGAAAGAATGGCAATTAATATACTACATCCGATTTATTATGATAAATCGTAACAAGATATGTTTAGTATTTTTAATATTATTTTAGTTTTATTATTTTATAGAAAATTTTATTTAAAATCTTGCTTCTGAAAAGAGAACTTTTCTTAAAGTAATTAGAAAATAATGATTGGATTTATAATGTAGAGAATATATATAAAAGAATAAAAAATAAATAATTGATATTAATCTAGAAATAAAGACAGAATCTCTTTACATTTTTATATTTTCGTAATATTTTCCGCCCAATAATTAAATATATTGAAACATACGCACATATTTCTTTGTATAATATAGAATTATCACAAATTAATTTTACACATATTTTTTTACATATTTTACATAAAGATTGCACAAATATTGATAAAATCAGTTTGTACTTATCTTGCAGATCGATAATGTGCACGTGTGTTATCGAGCGAAATTAACCCTTGTCCCTGTCACAAATGAGTAATAAAAATTTCCGCTAAATCAAGTATTTAATTTCAAATAATATCGTGTCTCGTTCAAAGTTTTGCTATTTGTGAGAAATATTTTTTTATTTATTTTAGCGTAGTTCATATTTTTGAAATATCTTTTTCCGTTTTTTCACGCACACCGACCATCGTATTTTTTTTATAGCGAGTGCCCTAAGCAATATCTTTTCTTTTTTTAATTCTCTCGCATATTACGTTATTTGCCATGAACTATCATTGCATTATAGTGTTTCTGTTTCGTGCTTTACACACACCAATTCGCATACTATTAATCGATTGAAATCTGAGACCTATCGTTATTCTTTCTCCATTTGTTACACTATTCACGATTTGAAATTCATAGAAATACGAAGCTTATCATTTGATAAAAACGAGATTTATCTTTATAAATCTTTTGAATCTTCAATAATAAATTTGAATCTTCAATAATAAATTTGCTGCTTGAAAAAGACCTATTTTAAATCGAATCGTTTTCGATCTTTCGCGAAAATCAAGATTAGTATTTCTAAAAGAAAATTCATAGAATAATACTCAAGCTAGCAATAATTCGCAAGCGTGAGAAAATGCCCCTTGTGCGTCATCGCGATGAGGAAATGGTCTTGCCTATTCCTTAATCGTGTCTTGATCATGTAGACTCGATGTTCGATCTCACGCCTCGTCGATCGCCGATTTTAGATGCTTTAGTTCCGCTTTCGTTATCGCTGCGGGCGTGAACTCGTGTTTCGTTAAATAGAATTAAGTAGAATAACGTTATTCCCATCATAAAAGTAATTTTTTGGCGATTAAGTCAGGATTCATAAGATTTTTTTTTTATTCTTGTACTTTCTGAACGCACACAATGCAATAAGTTGAAGTGAAACAAACACATATTTGTTTCACATATTGTACCGTGTGTACTAATTTAGAGAATGCAGAAATAAAAAAAACAGACAAGATCTATAAATTGTTTCGATTCCAAAAAAACAATTGCATTAATAAATTATATGTTGTACTATATCAGGCCAGTTCAATCATGAATTAATTCATGATCATGATTAATTAAATTCAGTCATTCTTGAATTATATTATATTAAAATCTTTATATATCGAAGAAAATATTAATTAATACTTTTTATAATACATTAAATGTATTTGGCACGTATTTAAGAAAGAATAAATTATTTTTGTGAAGTTTATCTGTTGCATATCCATAACTGTAATCCATATGATCGTTAATCTTATCGATAATTAAATCCATAATACTTGTAATCTATACTTAAGTATTTTCTGCGTTGTTGGACGATGTCCATTATGTCAGTGTTACGAATCGCTTACGCGAGAGATCTTCTGCATTTTCAACGTTATTTATATATTGTCGATTAAGTAATTACGCGCTTATTCTCTGTTTTTTCATGAATTTCTTTGCGAATCCTGGTTTTGATCATTATTAAATATCATTAATGCAATTTACTGTTTCATCGTGCATCAGTGTCACAGTTAATTTGAACGAAAATATTATCGATGTGGACTCGTTGTATCAATCTTTTCTTCACTATTGATCATTTTTATCGATCTCGTTTACTTGAAGTTTTGATCAATTACTAAGATGAATAATATTCAACATTAAGAAATCGATGTAATTTTAGTGAATTCAAGCTTTGCCATACTTTAAACAATTTATATATATTAATATGTTATACAGTAATACAATAATATAGTTTATAGTTTTATCGAGTGAGACTAAAGAAAAGTTTAAAATTAAAATCAGGAAATATTTGAAGTGATCTTTAATTTAGAATAAAATATTTGAAATTTTCATTTCATTTAAACGTCGTCGATACTTAAAGCAATGTATATAGAATTTAATATTTATTGAACATTAATTGATAAATGCTTGATTCATTTTAAATATAAATTTATTAGGCTATTGTGCTCAAACTTTTAGTTTTGCCATTAGGTGAAAGTTGACAATTAAATTTTTTCGAAGAAAGTAATGCTTTTACAACGTTTATTACATTATGTATTGAGCTTGACAATGTCTGGCTATGGTTATATACTCTTGATTATATACCGCTATTCGACGTTCAAGCACTTTGTGCGGTTCAAGTGCTCCAGTATGCATTTGTTATGCTAATCTAGGGCAATGTGCTCTTTACTCCGTCCGACACGGTGAGACGAGCACATCAATCTTTCAAAAAGAATGACGTAACGGCTCTAAAATCATTTTTTTCCGCCTGCCAGTCTCTCCCTCCTCGCTTTGCATCGCTGCTTAAAATGCATGCGTCGGTTTGAACATGAAACGGGGTTTAGGTTTTAAGTTTACTAAAAGTTGATTTGGGTCGTTCTTTTTCTTTCGTTTCGTGGCAGCGAAGCGACTCTCGGCCGCGATTTAAGAGTCGTAAAGTCAGCCATGCCAGAGTTCGTCGAAAAAATGAGAGCTGAAAACCACCATCAGCGGAAGAAGCCTTCCGCGTCCAGAAGTTTAGCGAAATTGCACCGGGCTGATGACTGTAATTACTGACGAAATTAAACTCGTTCCGAGAGCATTCTGCGGGCCGATCTTCCCGACTGCAAAAAAAGTGATTTAAAAAGCGAGGCGAGAATTAAACAATTCCTTTCGCGAATGCACAATAAAACGTGCATTGTATTCGCGCTGGATAGAAACTGGTAGAAGTTTTGCGAACTTTATCGTCGTTTTTTATCCCCGCCTTATGCAAGAATACTTCAGACGACTTCATCGTCTGGGAGGTTGGGAAGTTTGAGTCGTTGCTGTTGCAATAAAATCGTGGGTCAGTGGTCGATGCAACGTCGTTGTTGCCAGTAAAAATGAAGAACATTTTGAGAATCATGCAACTAAAATTTAATCAAGCAAGAGCTTTCTAGATTACTGTTAGAGAGCGAAAGCGTCCCAGGAGATCGAAACCGACGACCATTTGGTATTCTACGAGACATTGTCTCGTAAAGTAGGATCTTTTTCGATGCGGGCGGAATATTAGAATTGAGTAATCAGAGAAAATTAATTAAAATTTGATTAACTTAGAAATCCTCCTTAGATACATAATTGATATAAAATCGAAACATATTGTATCTTAAAGGTTTCTTTAAAATCTTAAAAGTTTGCATTTAGAAAATTATTCATATATTATAATTTTGTATATATAGAATATATTATATGTATAGATATTGTAGATATAAAGAATTATATAAATAATCGATATAGCGAGATAGAATTTTACATCCGTGAATGAAGTTGAAACATTTATGATTATTTGTTGTTTTTATTACTTAAAAATATTATAAAATTGAATATGATTGATATAATAATCATTGATTATAACAAAAAAATTTGAGACATATCCTTTTATCATTGAAGAGTTGCATGTGCATGGTTCATTCAAACGTAATATATATCCTGCTGGAAGATAGTCTTTAGACATTTGTTATCTTTATTGATTTATTAGTTATTTAATTATTCATACTTTATTCCGTGAATTTTTCACGTTTTAGCTCGTTTCATTTGCGTGTATTATTTTGCATAACTTAAATAATTATACAATTAAAATCCGAAGAAAACGAGAGCATTGTTTAATATTGATTATTTCTGTGTATCAAATAATATTGTAGAAAATTTAGAATTGAAAAAATTTATTACGATATGAAAACTATTTTACAGTTTAGAATTTTAAATTTATAAAATCATTAATACATTAAATATTAAAAATATTGAAAATTTTGAGTAGGTTGATCCAGCAATACCGATCTCGAATAACTTTCTGTCGATGACTTATTAAGCCTACCACCCGTAATTATTTTAGTGATATCCGGGAGTTATGACTTTGTCGTCAGAGTGATACACGACGACACCCGCGATTGGCAATTCCGTTTGCATATAATTGCACAGGAAGGAGACAGCATCATAAATAATTTTTGTACCGCTTTTTCGTCGTCGTATTAATTTGCGATTAATCTTCGAGGCGAAAGTCGAAGCGAATGTCGAGCTCTACTTTAACTTGAACGTGTTAAAAAAAATGCACGTTCGTAGCCGCTCGTGTTAATGCTTTTCTGGAGAACTACAAGTGTAATGAATGCTGAGCAGTTATAATTAAAGTAATGATCAACGACATTAATGCTGTCATAAACGATATGAGTTGGAACTCGTTTCAGCTGCTTCGATTTTCCCGCATATAAGATCTGCAGATTGTGTTTCAATTATTTCTATGATTTATTTAGATCAAGCT